TCGTGCTCATCTTGATCCATGATGCTTGTAGAGGATGCTCCCCTCCCCCCCACCCCCATCGCCCCTATTTCTCTTGTCGTCGGGCCTTCAAGGTTTAGAGCAAGTCGTGTAGCCTCAAAGCCATCTGTATTCCTTTATTTTTTTTTTTGTTTGTATTTCTCCTACGTCTCCTTCGGTTAGATTTTTACTTACAGTAAAAAAATCATTTGTCCTTCTTCTACCATAAAAAAAAATCCCCGTAGAAGATGAAAAACATTTAGTTTTTGCAATGATTAGTCACCTTTGATACAAACTTAAAAATACTTACAATTCACTCCAAACAATAATTTAAAGTTATTAAAATCAGAATTATCGTAATAAATTTTAGAATGAATAACTGCCACATAACTGCTTAATGATGAAAAATATTTTCCAATTGTCATTTATCAATAAACAATTTTAAGCCAATTATTTTCCAAACGCATAAATCAAACAACCAGTCAGATTATCCGGATCAACTGTCGATCAACAACTTAACCGGATAAACTGCTTATCTGGATAAGTTAGATAAGCTGCAGCTGTCTCAAACAAACTCTTAGGGTTTTGATGGCTTAGAACGACGGGTCCGCGATATCCCGACATGGGTACCTTTACCTTTTAGGATTACTCAACCCTTCCTCATGTTGAGCCCCTTTAAGCCCTATTGCTCCATTGACTTCATTGATATCATCATTTTAGCGACCAAATTACCGATGGGCTACCGTCAGTTTGAGATACATTGATTCACTCTCTACCCTGATGACCTGGTGAGCTCTGACGTATAGGGATGCCTTCGTCAAGATGATTATTGTTATTTCTTAGGTTCTGATTTTGACAAGCCACTACCTATTTGAAATTTGAGAGACTCGCTCTTAGTTATGTGGCTTAGCTAGTTTCGAAAGCATCACAGCGTTCCCATAGGAAATAACCATCATTTGATGAACTATTCTCTAGGTTCATGATAATATAAATAAATATTCTTTTATTGAGAGTATTTATTAGCATCCTCCATGTTGTAGTTAACCAGAGAGATACGTTCATTTGGGAGACTATTTACCCTATAATAAATTGTTCTTTTTGGTTCTCTTGTTACGAGCAACTTATGTAGGGACTTTCTATGTGGATGTTGTGTTTCGATGTACTTTAATTCGATCTTGTTCGGACATTTACTCTTGACTCATCACATGAGTATTACTTATATAAACTTTTAGCTTATTTCTTTTTATTTATTTGCCATTTTTTTGTCGTAGATCATTCTTATTATTTCTATTATCTTAAAACCATTGATGTACGTTCATCTCGGAGACTCTTGATCCTAGAATAAATTGTTATGTTTGGTTCTCTTGTTACGAGCAACTTATGTAGGGACTTTCTTTGTGGATGTTGTATTTCAATATATTTTAATCCGATCTTGTTCGTACATTTACTCTCGACTCATCACACTAGTATTACTCATATATAAGGTTTTCGCTTATTTCTTTTTATTTATTTGCCAAATTTTTTTTTGTCGTAGATAATTCTCATAATTTTTATTATCTTAAAATCATTGATATGATTTGAGAGAGAGATTCATTTATTTAAGAAAATTTTAAATAATTAAGTTCAGTCAAAGACTTAAAAAAAAAGAAAAGAAAAAGAAAAATCAAACCCACGTTCGTAATTCGGCTGAAATTTTGTTTTAGTTTGATTTTATAGCAACCAAAAATACATTTATTTAGGTCAAACCAAACAACCCCTAAATCCTCCTACAGCTCGCGGTTAGAGCGTAGAGTGGGAAGATGAAGCTGAGAGTGTTCGCAGATCGGATGTCGCAGCCGTCACGCGCTGTCTTAATCTTCTGCAAGTACGTCTTCAAAGTTCAATCCCCGACACTTTAGGTCTATCAGCTCAACGTTCCTTCCATTGATGCAATGTAATTTTTCTTTGCAGGCTAAATGGTATCGATTTCGAGGAGGTGAGAATAGATATCAGTAAGGGAGATCATCGGTCGAAGGAGTACAAAGGTTTATTTATCCTGAGGAAACATGCATTCTATCTTTTACATTTTTGTTTGACTTTCCTTCTGTGAAGATTCATGTGATGGTTCTTCAGGGGTTACGGCGAGAGAGGGAGTGGGAGGTTCCATGTTTTCATGGAGCGTCGGAGCTGTGAGATAGGTTCTCGTACTTCTAGATATGGGCTGAGAAGATGAATGGGTTGAGCTAGATTGATGGGAGAAGAATTTTGTGGTAAACGAGAACGTACTGCAATCTGGCCTTTTTCTCGGCACTTTTCCTGCCATTAGCTCTTTAAGGTTCACCTTATGAAAACAGGCTTTGATCTTGGCTTTCGGGGTTGCCACAATGGCTTGTTCATTATTGATCTCACAGGGAGGAGAAATTATTCCATACGGAGCACTTATGCAGCTTTGCTCACGGACTTCCAGTAATATGCCGTCACGTGGAAGATATTGAAGTAAAATTGCGACAATTATTAATGGGTTATTGGGTGTTATTATGAGGTTATGGTGTGGGTTATGCAGGGACGAATATTATTGATGTATTATTATGAAGTTATTGCGGAGTGTAACCGTAGAGGTTATTGGAAGGTTATTGAGAGTTTAATAGCGGATGCTATTAGGAGGTTATTGAGAGATTATTGATGTGTTATTAGAATTATTGCTACAATAATCCCCAAATAACCCCTAATTATCATCACAATAACTTCCGTGGTTCCACTTCAGTAATCTCTGCAGAAGGCAGACCCGATATAACACACATGACGACATATTATTGAAGTCCACACGTAATGCTGCGCACGTGCTCTGTATATAATAATTTATCCACAGGGAGGAGCAAACGAAACTGCCTAGCTTTAATTCTCTAGGGATTTGCGAGAAAGATTTTTGGTGCGTTTACAAACATACCACCAAATTCCTATGCTTTTACATTTCCAACACTAAAATTTTTCCTTTTACATTTATACCACCCAAATCCTACATGTCACATGAATTAATACCACCGTTTTGATTTTTATGAAGTGAAATACACCTTTTCATGCATAAGGAAGGCAGTGTGCATGAAAAATTAAAGTTTAGGTGTTAGATGCGTAAACACATAGGAATTGAGTGGTATGCATGTAGATTTTCTATGATTTTTTATTATGTTTTGTTTTATTTTATTTTATTTTTTTGTGCAAGGAAGATGGCAACAGTACTCCAAGTTGAGGAGGTTTTAGCTCCTTGTATGATCTCCATTGAACAACTCTCATGGTGCTGTCCTCCACAGCTAATGAACTTCAACCTAATGTCATTTTTTGTGCCTCATGGAACTGTAGGGATTCCTTGAACTGCTGTGACCAAAATTGAAGAGTCAAATAATAAAATCATATATAAAGAAAATGCCCCTCGATCAAGTCACATTGGCTATTCAACTCTCTTTAAGTCCCTTAATATAAAAACCTTCAACGATCCTTTAAAGTTGGTCATGGGTAGCCACATTTTAGTAGCTTAGTTTTTGAGTTGATTCAAGTACTTAAGTATAGCCTGCAAAGTCCCTAACTATTTCTTATCCAAACTTCCTTAATAATTTTTTATTCCAAATCCCTTCGTAGATTTTTAGGACAAGTGCTCTGTACTCTAATTCGACGCTGCTTCTATAAACAACCTATTGCTTCTTAATTTTTCATGTCACTAGTTTCCCCATGCATAGAAGCAATAACTCGTGGTAGACCTTCTGTCAGTGAGTTCCCCGACTCAACTAGCATAAATGTAGACTTCCACCTCTTCATTCCTGGTTATCTAAAAAATTAATTCATAACTAGGAGTTATCTTGAGAAACTTCAGAATTCTGTACACCTCTAAATGCTATAAATTTAGCCTATTCATGTGTTGACTCACAATACTGACAGAGTATGCAATATTTGGTCTCGTATGTGACAGGTAGATGAATTTTTCTACTAATATTTAATATTTTTCCTCCACAAAGATAGTTCTCTATTTTTTGACTGTTGGTTGAGATCCATTAGAGTGTTAGCAGGCTTACATCCAAATATCCACGTCTCTTTTATTAGATCTAGGATATATTTTTAGGTCATTGATTTCAAACTCTGTGATAAACACCTTTTGATCTTGAGAATCTCTTTTTTTCATCATGATTAATAAAAATCATATCTCTCACATATTCTATCAGTGCAACAATCTTACCTCTCTGAGTGTGTTTTACAAACATAGTATAATCAGCTTGATTTTGAGAATCTTCATTAAATTTTATAATTTTAGCAAATCTTTCGAACCACTCTCTTGGTGCTTGCTCAAGACCATATGGAGACTTCTTAGGTGTTTGTTGAAATCATTCTCAAGCCACAGTGGTATCTTCTTATATACTTATTCTTCTAGATCCTAATTCAAGAAAATATTTTTTATGTCAAGTTGATGATTTCGCATTCCTTGTTAACCACTACTGAAAGTATAACTTTGACAGTGTTAAGTATGACAACTAATGCGGATGTCTCTAAATAGTCAATCCCATATGCTTGAGTAAAACCTTATGCAAGAAGTCTTGCTTTGAATCTCTCAATACTTCCATTAACTTTGTAGCTGATGCTGAGCACCCATTTGCACCCAACCAACTTTATATTATGAGGGAGTTTAGTAAGAATCCACGTGTCATCCTGCTCTATTGCTCGAATATCCTATTCAATTGTTTTCCTCTATTATGTATTTTCAAGAACTTTATTAATATATTTAGGAATCTGCATACTATCAAGATCAGAAACAAAAGCTTTATAGGATGACAGTTTCTCATAAGTTATATACTCCTGAATTGGACATCTAATGCATTTTTTATTGTCACCAGCAACAAAAGAGAAAAGCTTTAAGTCATGAATACTAGTAGGACTGTAAATGAACCAATGCACTCGATGAACAACTCAAACTCAACTTGATTAAGACTCGATTATGTTCATTCAAATTAGTAAATAAGCAAGCTTGAACAATTTTTAAAATCTTGGAGCTTAAATGAACTAAACATGAATATAATCAAACTTGTACATTTATGCTTATTAACAAACTCGTTTGTTTTTCAACAAATAACTTATTAAATACTCGATATTAAGTTCAATGATAACTCATATATATGAAATATTATTTAAATAAAATTTAATTAACTCTAGTTTATTTAATTATAAATTTAATAGTAATATATTATTATATTAAGAATATTTTTTGATCAATTATTAATTTTATATTTATTTTATTAATATATAATTATTACTTATATATTTATTTTATTAGAGTTTAGGTGTTATATGTGAAAATTCATAAACTCATGTGGTATGTGTGAAATGCCTCTTAAAATTAAATTTAAACACCCACAAACCTCACTTTTCCTATGACCTCTCACAGTATCGCGTATGCCTATTTCACCCGGAACATATGAAATCATGAGGTGCATGGCGTGCAGACATCAAAGACAACGACGAGATCGTGGTGTGCTAGAATCCCTAAAACTCTAATCTCTCGTATATCTTCTATTTTCACTTTGCTCATTATTCCCACTCAATTAAAAAATGGTGTTGAGAAAGTTTAATGTAATCATTGTAGGTTATATATGATTAATAATAATGATGGTGCAACAACTCAACATAAAAGACATCCACAAAATTATTCAAACAAGCTAGGAAAAGGACAAGTGCATATCACTATGTGAAAACCAATACCTACATCTGAATGTGGGACTTGGGTGCAAAATTGGAAGTATGATCATGCTAAAAAATATGAGAGATTATCTTATATGATCATGATTCATGAGTTATGTTTCATTTTGATAGAGTTTATAATCGATAAATCAGCAGGTGTGATCAAATTTGTAAAATTATTTATTAAATTTTTTATATGAAAATCTAGATACTAGTTTAAATTTTTGTCTTATTTAAATATTAATTTACTTGTCATAAATAAATCAAATTTTAATATTGAAAAATTTAAATAAGTCAAGCTTGAACATTATATGAAAGCTCTATACATGCTCAAATAGAACATGAACAACTTATAATTATATGAAGCCAAGTCCGAACTATGATATACTCGGCTTGATTACAACCCTAAGTACTAAACTTCCTACCCAAAATTTCAAGTGAATGCAGACTCAGGTTTTGGTTTGAACAATTTTATCCTTACAAGTTGGCTTCCACCAACCCAAGTTCTTTCTTCCTCATTGTGTACACAAAAAGTTTTTTAGTTTGGACTTTAGGTTGGGTTGTTTGGGTTGATTTAACCCCATCAACTGGGATAAGAGGGCTAGGTGGAGTAGGTGTTAATGCCTTGTAAGTGCATTAAGTGCATTTTAAAATTGGTGTTTATTTGCAAAGTCTCTTTGAGCATCAAATTTAGGGTATTAACATTGATTTTAAAAAATACGACATCCATAGAATTATAGTATTTTCTGGAACCAAAAAAGTGGCATTTATATTCATTTTGTTGTGGTGGTATATCCAAGAAAAATACACTTGATAAATTTATGGTCAAGTTTTATGTAATCACTAAATATTATGAATCTGAAGATTTAATAAATCTGGGATGGGTGCATCGCTCCAAAAGGAAGAAGTGAAGTTATTTTCCTCCATGGTTTCGGGCACGAGCAAAGATAAAGATGGGAGTTTTGGGTCTCTGTATGCCGCGATCCCATCATTACCTTCCTTGTCAACTCTAATTGTGACTGCATTGCTAAGGTTCGGTCTTGAAGACAATTGTTTTGGATGAAGGGCGAGGGACGTAAGCGAGGGTTTTGGCCTAGAGAGGGGAAGTTTGGGCAAACCAAAAGATGGGGATTTCAGGCAAAGGGGGAAGGAGGGATAAATTTGTTGCTTTAATTTATTTTTATTTAAGTTGATTTTATTAATTTAATTGAATATATGTCATATTAACACCTTTCTTCTCAAGAACTCTCCAAAGGATATCTCTTGGAACCTTATTGTAAGCTTTTTCTAAATCAACAATAAACCAATAAACATCAAATGTAGATTCTCCTTATTATCTTTGAACTTCTCCATCAAACCTCTCAATAAATGTATAGCTTCCATAGTAGACCTGCCTGACATAAATCTAAATTGCTATGAGAAATCTTTGTCATGCATCTTAATGTTGTGTCATACTTTAAAGCTATGGGAGAGGGTAATTGAACATAGGTTAAGACGCATGACAAAGATTTCTCATAATCAATTTGGATTTATGCCGGGTAGGTCTACTATGGAACCATGGAAGTTATACATTTATTGAGAAGTTTGATGGAGAAGTTCAGAGATAATAAGGAGAATCTACATTTGATTTTTATTGATTTAGAAAAAGTTTGCGATAAGGTTCCAAGAGATATCCTTTGGAGAGTTCTTGAGAAGAAAGGTGTTGATATGACGTATAATCAAGTCATTAAAGATATGTATACTAGAGCTGTTACTTGTGTTCAAACCAAAGAAGGATTGACCAAATATTTTCCTATTTTTGTTGGATTACAGGGATCGACTTTAAGCCCATATCTTTTTGCTTTAGTTATGGATGGTCTTACTGGACATCTACAGGAGGATGTACCTTGTTGTGTGCTTTTTGCTGATGATATACTTTTCGTGGATAAAACGAGAGAAAAAGCCCAGGAAAAACTTGAATTATGGAGGTCTACGTTGGAGTTTAAAGGCCTTCAGTTAAGGAGAACTAAAACTGAATACATGGAATGTAATTTTAGTAGTAGTAGCTCTAGTGACAGAAGTGTGACTTTGGGTGATCAAATTATTAAAACTTGTGAACGATTTAGATACCTTGGGTCTGTTGTTCAAAACGATGGTGATATAGATGGGAATGTTAATAGTAGAATTCAAGTTGGTTGGTTGAAGTGGAGGAATGTTTCGGGCCTTTTGTGTGATAGAAAAGTACTGCTTAAACTGAAAGGAAAATTTTATA